TTTTTTTTTTTTAGACCACATTGTAGTGAGGTGGTCTGGTTCCTATATATTATGCAAATAAATCTGAGGAAAGTTGTCACATGTGTTTTGTATATTGAACTTTTCTACCTTTATTAATTACAATACTGGTTGTCTAAAACATTAATGTGAAAATTTTGAAGTAGTTACTAATTGTTTGCCTTTGTAAAGTTTAGACTAGTATTTAGTATTTAAAATCCCCTTTAAATGTATTGTTTAAATGTATTGTATCTATATACATTAATTTGGTGTAGTTGTGGTGCAAATAATCATCTGTGAAACTCTTCCAGGTGTGTTTGATCCAGATGCAGATAAATTAAAGCCTGTGTCAGCAAAGGAGGGAGAATCTGTCACTCTAAATACTGATTTTAAAGTACAGAAAGATGATCTGATGCTGTGGAAGTTTGGACGAGCCACAGTCGGATGCAAATATAATCCACTTCATCATGTCCCGTGTCAAAGTGATGTGACTGCAATCGCTAAAATTGATGGAGAAACCCGTGAGGTCTCATCAGATACTGGTTACAGTGAGATGTTTAATAATAGACTGAAAATGGACAAACTGACCGGATCTCTTACCATCACAAACATCAGACCTGAACATTCTGGGTTTTATATACTACAGATTAGTAATAACACTGGGACCAAATACAGGAGATTCAACGTTACTGTTAGTGGTGAGTATCACAGGCAATTTTAAACTGCACTTTGATTTTATATTAAGTTATATATTAGAATGTTTTTGGGAATTATTTTACTATATAGTGTAAATGTATTTAAATGAGATGCAGTTATCCTAAGATTCTCATTTTATTTGTGTCAATATGTGAGGTAGTTTCTCAACACTGTGCTAATTTCCGATAATTTTTTTAGCCGTCACGAAATCCCACTCGCATGTAGTTTGGATGTCAATCGCTATAGTGCTTTTGTTGATGGTGGCAGTTTGGTGTTTGGCTACGGGCTTTAAAAACAGGCGCAACAGGAACTGTAAGTAACAGAAATGCAAATCTTTTCAACAAATTTTGTTAGGTGTTTCTTTAGGTGTAATTATTATAATAATGGGTTATTACAAAATAATCTCATTGTGAAAAAAATACTCAAGTGATGGAAAATAGATACCACTGAGATGCATTTAAGAGGGGTTATGTGGTTTTACCTTCATTCCTAGTTTTGTTCGGGAAACTGAGGTCAAATAACTGCTGTCAATCTACAGGGGCGCAGGAACCGGGTGAGTGTTTCCTTCAGATAATACTCAGCTTCCTGTGCTTGAGTGTGAACATAATTAATCTATAATAGTGTAAATGGACTTTTCTTTATTTCTTACTGACAATGTTGTTCATTTGAATTCTGGCTTTGTTTGACCAATGTTTGTTGATAAAACAGAATCAATGCCAAAGTCAGTGATAGAGGGAGAGCCTGTCACTCTCAACACTGATCGTACTGAACTACAGAGAGGTGGTGTGATAGAGTGGAAGTTTGGAGGCAGCGTCATAGCAAAAATCAGCAGAGCAGCCAATAAGATCTGTCAGAAGACTTATGATGGTGCTGATGAGAGGTTCAGAAACAGACTGGAGCTGGACTGTAAGACTGGATCTCTGACTATCACAAACTCCAGAACCACAGATTCTGGAGATTATCAACTACAGATTGCCACCAATGGAAAAGTGGAACTATACCGAAAATTCAATGTTTCTGTCTTTGGTGAGTAGCTCAGATTTGCTTGTATATATCATCATTAAGATGCACTTTATGAATTTTTACCTGTTATGTTTTTTGTGTAGTAGGACAACAACATTATCTCTTCACATCTTCGGTGATTATTCTGTGCTTTCTTATAGATTCGAGTCAAAACATACCTAAAGAGTCAGTTGAGTCTCCTTTGATGAGTGAAGAGATGGAGTTGGAGTTGGTATAATGCTATTAACATTGATGAGAAATGTGTCATATATGCATATATGTTATTTGCCTCTAAAAAGTTCTACACCCATGAATGACCAAGAACTCACCATATCAGAAATGTTATGTACATAAAGTGCAGCTAATGTATGTGAATGTTGTGTTTTTGTACATATCCTTGAGCCTGTGATGTGTTTACCGACATGCTTTTGCTGAAATAATACATTTTATTTACTTGTGTCTAGCACTGTAATTTTCTAATTGATATGCCTTTTTCTGTGAGCGTATAAAGTACTTAATCATATCTATAATGCACTTTGTATGACTGTTTAACCAAATAATAATAGAAGACACTACGGCTTTAGCACTGCTATTATGAAACACTGGAAATACAGCATTGTTGCTTTATTTTTTTTACGTTTGCTGCTCAGTGAATAAATGTGGGAGAAAATGGCCTCAATTTTAAATTTCCATTTGTGATTTGGTACTTTGAGTCTTATTTTTTGTTGAATATATTTATTATTATTATTTTTTTTTTTTTACAAGTGTTATGTAGCCTACACTCTAAAAAATGCTGGGTTAAATACAACCCAGTGC